TGCGTTTGAATGTAAGGCGGACAGTGTCAGCTCCTGCCCCACAAACCAAGCCAGGCAGTTTGATTCTCACTGGGTAGCTGCTGGAGCGGCTCAACCCTCCTGCCCACTGCCAACCGAGCAACGCCACGCCAGCCTCGGTGCCATGCTGGACTTCTCCAGACAGGATTATTGAGTGCCATGCTCTGAAACACACACTAACAAGCAGCAAACACTTCATCTATCCACATTACATTTATGAGTGTTTACATTTGAATCATTCAGCTGTGATTTTTGGCCCAAAAATATTGGAACCCGACCATGTAGCATGAGTAATTTTAATTTATGTGGTGACAGAATTGTTATTAGTAATGCAAGTCTACAAGCGCTCGGCTAGTTCTGTTAGCGTAAAATTGAAACTAACATGAACCTTGAATGAGTAAACGGGTTTTTCAGTTTTTCTCAGAAAGGAAGTTTTCTTCCTCCATAACTGATCGCAGCAAAGGGAACAAAGGGGCTGTTTTGTGCCTGCATAATTGGTCCGAGCAGGTTGCAGCAGCCCAATGAAAGGCTGGGCTGAGCTGAGCACCCAGCTGGCAAGAAAGCCCCCCCCCCTTCTTCTTATCCTCCAATGCTTCTCTTCTCTCCTTTCCACCACTCAGGGCCAGACTGTGAACCTGCAGCTCCTGTGTGTCGGCTGGGGTAACAGGGGCTTTCACTGCCAAAGTCACGTACAACAACACAGACTGAACAGTCCCTTTTAAGAGCTACAGTCACACGCAAACCCCCCCCCCCCAGCCCCCAACCCACAGTGCGAAAAGGGGGTCATTGTGCCACACAAGACTACTATAAAGCATGTGGAGTTGGCTGGAGGTAGCTATGACAAAATCTCTGTGTCCCTGTGAGCCGTCTCTACCCATCATTTCTTTTCACACCGTCCCTGCACACATACAGTCACAAGGTGCAACAACTGCACACACACACACACACACACACACACACACACACACACACACACACACACAGGATATGTTTGCTCAGAAAATGCCTTGAGAAAGACATACATACACACAAATGCAACTCTCTTAATTCTGATTTCCTAGGAATTATGCTTCAGGATATGTTTTTTCACTTTAATCTAAACACACACATGCCAGTAAGGTTTGATCAGATGATTTGCAGGTCAAAAGACGTATAGGTTAAAACAGACTGAATAAGACTGAAATGTGTAATTTCGTAAAATGTTATTAGCTAAATGTTTTGTAATTTAAGGTATGTTGTGTTATTTTTGTGCAATATAAATAAATAAATAATAATAATAATAATAATAAGTGAGATTTCATTTTCCACATTATCTTTTACACTTCACTCTTAATGGGTCAAGTGTATATATATATATATATATATATATATATATATATATATATATATATATATATATATATATATATATATAAACTGAACAGTCTATTAAAACACTTACCACAACATCATAAAACAAATTCACTTTTCAACCAAATTTAGCTCAGTTTTAACTTGACCCCCAGGTGTCTTTTTGACCTGCAAATTACATGTGCACATACACAACACCCCGCTTACAGCGATTCTTGTTAAAAAAGAACATTCAGGATTTCCTCTATAAAATGAGAAGTGATAAACAACCCTGAGACCAGAGAGATTGAAGAAACAGCGCAAGAGGTGGTGCCTAAAAATATAGCCGCTGACAGGACCCAGCTGAGGGAGGTGGAGGTTGTGGACAATACCACCATTGAAGCTTTCTCAGGTCTGTCCTGCTTCGGCATCCCCGCCCTCAGAGACACAAACCCACAGGTATTCCCTGGTTTTAGAAGCAGATTTCACTTCAAATGAATCAATGGAAACAACGCATGGGAAAACATGCCACCATTTCCTTAGTGAAAGCTCCCTTTCTTCAATGAGCTGACCTCACTAAAACTTTCAGCGGGTAATATGTGGGGTTTGGTCTACCTATTTCTCCCACCTCTCCCTATAGGTGGGGGAAGCAGTGCTCTGTTGGTTTCATTTTATTGCACCTTCTCTGCTTCTTTCAGACCGGACTATGAACGTCAGCCCATTTTAAAATCAATTTTCATGTTCTGCATTTAAGGAGAATTGTCTTCACTCTTTCAGAGATTTTCTTGCAGGAAGAGATAAAAAACGGAGTCATGGTGATGTGAAAGAGACTCGTCGGTCTTCCTAACATGGCAAGAGTGATCAAATGCTTGATGTAATGTCGCTCATGTTTGTTCAGTTCAGTTCAAAAATGAAACTTTGGCAGCTGACGGTTATGCCTCAAAAACATGTTTTTCTTCTTTATTTTTCCATGAGCTTAGCTGTCACTTGCCAGGCATCTCCGCTTTCCCACTGAATGACACTCGAGGGAGAGATCTTTATTTTAATCTCTCTCTCATTTTATCATTCTTTTTCTGCCGTAGTCACAAAGACCTACTGATCTCTGCTCAGCGTGTAGACTTTTCATCCTGAAAAGCCCCGCAGCATTAAATAAACAAAACACACCATGAAGCAATTACTACTGTAGTTAGCGTGCAGAGAAGAGAAGGGTAAAGAAGAGAGCCAATCACTATAGATCAGAACAGCTCTGGCAGATGGTGTGACTCTTCCACAGAGAGACACTGGCATCACCAGGCTCGGGACAACCACTGGCAGGAAACATCCTTCCTCTACGACCCATTCTGACCGTCATCTCAAGCTGCAACACAGCACACATGCGCGTACATTTTGCTGAAGGCAAAGCAGCCTCAAGGTATACATCAAGCGTGTGTGTCTATGTGTGTGTGCATGCACACCCGAGACTGTGTGTATCTGTTACGCAACGGGAGAGTTCTTCCCATCTGTGCCTCTCTGCAGCCCCCGCATCCCTGACCAATGAAGCGAGAAACGACAGCTCTGCCTTGCACTCTGCCTCCCTCAGTCTTCCTCACAACACACGTCCCACTCTTCATTATTATCATCATCATCATCAGCCGCCCAACAAATACACACCCTCCACTCTTCTTCCCTTACTATTGCCTCTCTGTTCTGGTTGGCTAAAACTAAACACCATTCCGGGCCCAAAATGATTCAGGATTCATCGTTGTCATCACCTTCACTGTCAAAATCATGCCCGTCAGCTTAAACCCCAACTAGAAAACAAGACCACTCTCCAGGGTGTCTAACCAACGTTTTACTTATGCTCAAATTCCAGATTATCCCACTAAATGCATCGGTGTCTGACCCCCCCCCCAACCCCCCACCCCCCACCCGCTCTTCCGGCTCGCCTAACTCCCCACAGGGCTCACTGTTGTGGAAAAGATGTTAAAACAAAGAGAGCAGACAGTACAGCGATAATCCTAAACATAGCAGCTGGGGGAATTAGCTAGCCATTTGCTGGGGACTCGCTATCTGGGTTTTGTTGCTAACTATGCACAATCTTAATTGCCGTTAGGGCTAAGAACGTCAGCATTGTACCTCATTGTTGATGGCATATGCCTTATTACTTTCATCAGGGAGGGAATGGTAATTTACAAAGGGAAGATCACTGTAGATGCATCTGAGATGTTTTTTTTCCCGGACAGGAATGCGATCCTGTACTTTGATGACCGCATCCTGTCTGGAAAAACGTTTTAGTTGATTCCGCCAGGGCCCCGTGTGTCAGTGGTTCTATTCAAATAAATGAATTATAGATGCACAGAGACCTGTCCTCTGTTCAGGGTATTTAGGCAAGGAGCAGTATTGGGTTTCAGACAGTAATGCAGTAATGTCTTCAGTGCTGAATCACATATTACAAGACCAAAGCATTAATGATATCAAGCCTTACCATTACTTCAATTAGCTAAAACTTTATTGTATGGGTACAGTAGGCCTGCTTACACACTCTCTTTCAGGGTTCTCATTACCCAATCTAATACTCCATTTCTCTCTTTCACTATGACTACCTCTTCCCCTCATCATGGGATTGGAGCAGGGCATGTGATGCCTGCACCCTGCTGCCTGTCTGGTCCAGCTGGGCATCAGTCCCAAATCGGTTACACACACACACACACACACACACACACACTATACACTTGTACAGGAGAAAACCAGAGAGGGACAACAAAATGTGCACAACTGCAGCCAACCACACCTTGGTAAACACCGCTCAATACCTAAAATAATTGTGTCAAATATTTGAGCTACCCAAGCAGTGTTTTGGTTTTGCTTCTTGTGAGCTGGCACAGCTTCTACAATGGAAATTTTGTTTAGGAATTACATCAAATTAAAGCCCTCCTAATGTGCTTCTTTGAGCAACACACTCCACTGTTGTTGGGCTCGAGTCTGGCAGCCAAGTTATCCAGTGCCCATGCCTTTAGCTCCAGGCTGTATCTGCTAGATGCTGTTCTATTACAGGTGCCATGGCTTGAAGGCTGCAATTTAGTGGTTAGGGATACTGCAGATAATTGTTTGGAGAGATTAGAGTGGATTTCTTTCGTCCTGGCCTGTGCTAAAAGCTGGTGAGGTGAGTTTCAGCTTAAGATTTGGAGAACTGTCTTCTTCTCTGTCATGTTTCAGGCAGAATGACACCTGTGATTGGAATTCCATACTTGGAGCGGCAGGAGTCGTCTGAGGAAGGCTAGACCTGCACTTTCAACCCAGACTGACCGCATTTATTGTTCCCCCACTCGACTGACATTCCAGGAATAAGAAGAGGTGGCTCCTTCATCAGTTTCCCACACAAGGCCAGACAAAGGACACTGGCGCGCACAAGCAATCACAATACAATCAATTAACATCAATATTTGGCTGCTTTGTGGTTTAAAGAGAAAAGACGTGTTACGTGGAGGAGAGACATAAAAATGCAAAATAACAGATGCAAACACAATTCCAGCATGACTAAATGACATTTACTCAGGCTTTCATTCATCTTTTTCCTTCCTCCACACACAACCAGGCATAACTGGCTTCTGTGTGGGCTGTGTGCAACTGAGCCCACCTACTCTCCACCACAACAAAGATGAGAGACCACTCACCTAGGTGGTCTGCATGGAAACTGTTGTCGTGGGATGTTCTACCATGGGGCACAAGGTCGTGGTGGGCAGCAGGTGGCCAGATCTGACCAGTTTTGCGAACGCTCACAATAGTGGCCTCAGACATGACCACGTGGCCTCCCTGCTGCCGGTGGTGACGCTTCTGGGACTGTGGCGTCGGAGGGCTGCTGCTGTCAAAGGAGTGCTGGGAGTTCTGGGAGTTTTGGGATGGCGAGCGGCTCTTCTCTCTAAAGGGTCGGCGGAAAGCCGTGGTGGGACTCGGTGAGACGTGGCTGGACTGGCCTGAGGAGAAGTCCTCCTCGCTGGAGGTCAGGTTTTCGTTGGAGCTGCAGTCGGGCGTGTAGCCACCGCCTCCGCCGACGTCCTCAAAGCTCCCTGGGGAGTAGGAACGGCGTGGCCAGGTCAGGAGGTGGTCATCACCTCCCCCGAGGTCTCTCATTGTGACTCCACTACCACCTCCACCACCACCTCTCCCGTCTCCACCGCCACCTTCACCCATCATCACCCCACCGACATAGACACTGGAGTAGGCCTGGAACTCAGAGGGCTGCCAAGGAGGGGGTGGAGGTTTGCCACCATTGGCCCTCCCTGAATGTCGCTGGTTGGGTTCCCCGTCTTCATATTCTGCATCATAGCCGCAGGTGCTCTCAGTGGACCGGCCTCTGTACACTGGCCTGGTGCGGAGCTCCCCTGCCACCGTTGCCAGGTTACCTGGAAGAGAGTGAAGGGATCTCTTTCGCTCCATCTGCATGGCCTGGCTGCCCAGGGTGCTGATCTTGTCAGAGACGTCACGGTCGTTGACCCTGACCAGACCCCGCTCGTGGTGGAATTCCATGTTGGAGTAGAAGGGGGGTGGTGGCGGCGGCAGCTGCTTCTCCTGGCCCTTCGCTACATCACCCGCCGAGTGAGAGTTGGCCCGTTTGATCCTCTCAAAGTTGGACCTTAGAGCTGCCACGCCAAGTCCCATCCCCAGCTTGTCCTTAGGGTCAGAGGGCAGTTCCTTGTCAGGGGGCGGAAGGTTGGGCCTGCGGGGGGAGACAGAGATGCCGCCTCTCTGCTTGGACGGTGAGAGGCCGTCTAGGTTGTCACAGGACGTTGACTCAGCCTGCTGGGGTACCTCAAAGGCTGACTCCAGGCCATCTCCATGGGAGGCGGACTTCCTGGCTGGTGGAGGCCTGGGTTTGGACCTGCCAGCTCCATCTCCAAGAGGCTGATAACGACTCCTATCACCAGCGCCACCGCTACAGCCACCATAGCCGCCTCCTACAACTACTCCAACTCCACCAGTCTCCTGCATGTGCGGCTGCTGGGACTGGGACTCTGCGCCCTGTGTGGCCGAGTCCACCCCCTCGTTCAGTGGTGTCTTCCTGAAGCCCCAGCGTTGCTTGTCATAACTCTTCCTCTCCTTGGCGAGGAGGGTCTGCAGGTAGATCATGCGGAAGCGCTCCTTGTTGACCTCCTGCTCCAGGCGCCTGATGGACGCTTTGCATTTCTCCAGCTCCTGCTCGATACCGCCGACAGACCGCAGCTCCATCTTGGGGGGCTCCGACTCTGGGAATTGCGCCTTCCACGCTTCGATGAAACCCACCGGTTCCACCATAATATGCCTAATTTATTTCTTTGACAGACCCTGGTTCAAACACACTAGGTGAATGATGCCAAGGGCGCGCCGCTTATCCTTTTTTAGTCCAGTTTGTCTAAGAATCCTTATCGACAACAATGGCCACCTACAGTTAGAAAGCAGCACAGTGTTTATAACAGCCCTTTAGGCAACCCGTTCAGAAACACACAGTCGAATTGCTGACACTTGCCGTGGGGTGCGCAAATGCAACAATACATCCCATTCTGAACAAGAGAAACCAGCTGTTCAGTCAGAGGAATAGCTTGGAATGTGTGGGGCATGAAAACGATTAAAAAGCTTAAGCAGAGCTCGTCTTTCTCATGCATTATTCCAGAAAAGGCCACTTTAAGAAGATGATTTTTTTTTTTATCTCAGCCGCGACAAAATGACAGCATCTGTCTTCGCGGGGTGACACGAGTGATCTGGCTCCCACGGAGGTAAAAAGAAAAAAAAAGTGCTTTTTATCCCGCTAGACTTACTCACTGTCTCTGAATGGCAGCCCGGGTTTGTCAGCGACGGCAGGTCCGCTCACTCTTGCCCATTCATATGGCAGTAATCCCAGGTGCTGCTCCGGACCGAGCGCCTTTGTATCAGCGGCGCTCAAGGAGAATGGATAAAAAGCGCAAAAGACAAGCGACGACAACATCTGAGTTTGCTCAGAGGACGCGACCAAACTGGTAGGGTCCGATATAAGTAAATGGATTGTTTCGTTGCCCCATTTTTTCCCACGGCAAGTACGTAGTGTTTTTTTTAATCCTTTTTATGTTTTCCCAGGTTTATCCCGTTTCTTCGGCCGCGATGATGCCGCTGTGTGCGCTCCCATCTCAGGCCAGCAACACTGGAGAGCTGCAAGAATGGGAGGGACCAGTGTTACAGCGAGCCTGCTGGTTAAAGAGACAGAGCAGAGATGCAGTGATGTAGGTGATGCAGTCACCTACATCAATATTAGTCCAGATTCATTTTCTGGCTTTGTAATGTTCAGCAAATCAAACTTATTTTCATATCTTTAGAAATAGTATTCTGCACAACATAGGCATAATATATTCTCCCAGCTGGCATAGTTATGGAAAACTCTGGCACATTTGGCTATTTTCTTTATTATACTGTAGTTGCTTGATGGCTGGTTTGTCTCATCCTTTTTATATAGTCTATGGTCTTATCGCACATTCAAGCACCTTCATCTATTCTACAAATCTTATATGTTACTACAGCTGCACATTAAAGTCTACAATTTTACCATATCCTTCCAAATATTCCCACTAATACACCCTTTAGTGACAATTCTTAAAGATAATGTCAGCATATTATTATTCCCTCGTGGGTTACATTTAAAGCTGTACCTATCAAGCAGGTGTAACCGAACTTGTAGACGTGCTGGCAGCTTTAGCTCAATGCTGCCACCCAGTGGAATAATGTGTGATTTCAACTTCACTTTAGAAAAGAGTACATTTACACATCTCAGTGTAGAGCCCTATAAATGACTAATTGTGTAAAACGGTGGAACAAACATTGATAGTGTAAGTGTAAAAAAAAAAAAGAAGAAGACAATTCAAATACAATATTGTTTTATTTACCTGAAACCAAAACCTCAGTAATGCATGTACAATCATTATAACTCATCAATAATGTTCATCTTTTTACATAATGGTTAATATTGTTTGACCAGGTGTCACCGAGGGGGACAGCACAGGTCTCCCTCACGTTAGATCACAGTTTTACAGCAGTTGATAGGATACATGATAATAATGATGGAGGCTGTAAGAAAACAGGAGAACTTGTTGTATTGCAGGATTACCAATGAATCAAAGTGTAAGTCTGCTGTCCTGATCGCAAAGTAAATGGATCAGAGATTGGCCTACAGTAGTTACCAAAAGGGGGTGGGGGGGGGGGGGGGGGTTAAAAGGTAAAAACTCAAAGTAGAGCACAGTCAAGTTGAGCACGAGTCATTTCTCCATGTCTAATATTGTGCAACCCAAACCATTACAATAAAACAGTGACTTCCTTATCTATATCTATATCTGCAATATAGCCATCTTGAAACCATCTTAATGTCATTTCAGTATTATACATTAGAATCTATAAATATAAATCGCAAAGCCTACATACAGCTGAAACACATGCATGAATGTTTTGTACACATATCTAAGACCATTCAACCCAGTGTTTTAAAGGTTCTCTACGTGACAAGCTACCATGGAAGTTGGAAAACAAGTTCTTCATGCAAGGAGGAACATTGAAGGTGTTGAGGACTTCCCTGCACACAAAACTGTAATAGTGTCATATTGATATAGCATCTGCACACAGAGGTATAAGTGTGTTAAGAAGTGTGTGTGTGGTCATGTTTTGTGGCACAAAGTGAACTGTGTTACCAGTTCCACCACTTTTAAGTATACTCATGTATTTTGGTCTTATTACTGCAAAACCATTTCCTTTTTTTGTGTGTGCACAGGTACACACACTGCTGGTTATCATGGTGTTTGAGGTGTGTGAAGTTAAAAGTGAGCACACATGCTGGACAGCAGAACGTCTCCAGCATCTGAGACCACTCCTAAATTTTGCAAAGCTTTTACGAGAGCCAACCTAAAAAAGGGAGAAGAAAAACCACATTAGTACAAGACAGCATTTAAAAAATTTCACAACCAATATACATATTAAAATTGTATTTTTTTTTCTACCACACTATCAAGAGAAGGTATTGGTTTTGTGATTATAAGCAAGTGTCAGGAGAGGTGAAAAGAACAGCACACAGTGACGTTCACAATAGTGACGTGGTCAACATCAACGCTTAATTGGTTTCAGGCAGTGTTTCTCAGAAACCGTATTTACTGTCCTCTCATTTTATTAGATTCTACTGTAGTGAACTTGTATTTAGTCGAGTGTGAAATAAGCAAAAGGATACTCACTCTAGTGACAGGGGAGCCAATGGAAGGCATTGAGGAAGAAAAGCACACAGTTGTTAAGTGGAACACAAACACAGAGTGCAAACAAACCCAGGCTTCTACCCCAAAAAAAACAAAACATGCTTTAGATGGGGTTTTAGTGGCCTAAGATAAGTGCAGGTGACTGTATGGGCTCTCATCCAGCATGTATACACAACCACCACATATGGTAAATCCAGCACAAACTAGGACCTCTAAATATTAAAGCCCGTTAAGAGTCAAATACACACAAGATCTGTTTCTCTGCTGCGTGACAATCTCCTGCTCGTCATGTTGTGCCAAGGAAACTGAAGCATTCATGTTTGAAATGATTTGTATTCAAGTATTATATGCACATACAAAAAACACTGGATATGAATGTTGATACCCATTGGCCTAGTATTAAATAAAGACAGAAAACACTTTGATTCAAAGGGTTTGAGTGTATTTTTCCTTGGAGTAAAAAAACAACATTTATGGTTCTTATTTGCAATCCAAGTTCATTTGGAGTACTATTATTTTATTAGTATTTTTTTTCTGAAGACTTTAATATTACTGTCCTTTGAATCAAACGCCATGGAGATAGTAATTAACATACATCATCCCCACTCAGTTCTGTCTCTAAAGCAAAACACAAAAAAGTTAATGAATGTCAAAAATCAATACAAACAATATATCCTTAAAAATGTTAAGAGGGAAGGAAAAATTTGTTCCGTTTTCTGCACAAGCAAAAAAGCGCACACCTCAAATGTTATGCTTTAGCAAGACTGTTTAGGGAAAGCGTCTAGAGATGAGAGAAAAAAAACTTTATCATATTGAGGTAGCTGTGCTCTGCCCAGTGCAGAAAAACTGGCTTATTTTCAAATCATTATAGTAAAAAAAAAAATACATCCATGAAGATAATTTATACTCTAACATTGGGGGACACACAATTAAATTAGAAATGAGAAACCACATATAGTTCATGCTTGGTCACAGGACATGCGGCTTTTGTTTTTCAAGATATTTTTCTCTTTTCTTTAAGCAGAGCATTCAAATGTTCACTCCCAAACCTTTCCTCGTCCTCGTCTGCCACAGAGCTTGTCCTCTCTGAAAGAGTTCTGAGTTTATACTGAAGACACAATGGTAAACATTAGAAAATAAATCAAGGCGGTATATGTCTAAGCCACGCTGGTCAAAAAATGTATAAAGCCCAAAAAACAAAAACAAACTGTTGCATAAAATTCATTCTCTGTACAGACCAATGGATTTCTGATATCTTAACTTTCTTTTCATGTGGAGGGAAGCTAAACAAAACAATCTGCTGTTACTGTAGTGACAAATGCTATTCCCAAAAATTATTAAAAGTATAAACCTTCTAGGCAATATTGACATGAAGAAAAAAAAAAATGGCAACAGTATATTTTCTTTCAAACCAGCAACAGGGCTATGGGAGTGATGGTCTTCTAACACTAACAAGCATTCAAAGTCTCACCCATTTCTCAAATCCTATCCCGACTCAAACCAGTGACTTATCAATTTTATATTATTTGTTATTTCATGTGTTAAAGTTGGTCCTTCTCACACACACACGGTAATACACACACTAACTCTACAAACACGCACACACGCTAGCTTTGCACATGTAGGAAGGCAGAGAGGGAAGAGGGAGAGGAAGGGAAGTGATGGTGGTAGGAGGGGGGAGGGAAATGGAAAAGTCGAGGTTGTGCTCAAGTCAGTCAGGACCAGAACATGTCGGCCATGTTAGTGTCGGAGCTGTAGATCCAGAGGACCAAGGGGAGGGATACGGCCACAAAGGGCCAGGAGATGCCCTCCATGCATGCAGACAGGATGCAGCCTTTGGAGCCGGCAGGCTTCTCCAGCTCTTTACCGGGCTCCAGGTAGTTCCTGGCGGCAAACTTGAGAAACTCGTCCAGTAGAATGACAGGCAGGGAGATCTTGAGCACCATCAGCCATTGTGTCAGGTTCAGAGGTGTGATCTGGAAGATGATCTGAAAAAAAGCACACATGACAAAAGTTAAACCACGGTTCAGTCGGCATGGTAACACATTCCCGTTTTGTACCATGACAAAACTACTTTCATTTAACAGTATCACATTCTGCCTGACTCGCTAAAAAAAAAAAAAAAATCTCTCACTGGAAGGGGCTCCACATAGAGGATGAGGAAGTGGAGAGACATGGAAAGGCAGATGGCTCCCAGAAGCCACACGTTATCCCAGGGAGGCATCCTCAGCAGAGACTGGTTCTCTGACACACTGAGAAACACAAACAAAGACAAATGGACATGTTTGTTAAAAACTCACAACTTAAGAGCTAGAAATACTGTAATGGATATTTATTGTCCCAGATAAAACAAAGGGTTTCTGTTAAACTGAAAACATTGGTCCCACAGAGCATTATCTGGGGAAATAATTACTAAAAGACATGTTGGCCTTGCTAAGTTATTGAGTCACACGTGGGAAGATGCATTGCTCAAACTAACCTGTTCAGGGCATTGCACATTTCAATGGTGACCAGCACAGACAGGGCCATGGTCATTGGGTAAGGGGACTCAAACACCTTACAGTCCAGACCCTGGAAGTCTGGATTCTCTGGACTACACTGCAGGAAGTGGCTCTATGGAGTGGTAGAGGGAGAAAAGAAATACAGATTAACGCTAACAGCAGAATAAATGAAATTTCTGTGCGGTCAATTAGCAGGATAGTAGTTGTTCATACCAGCTGGTAAAAGGTGATCCTTGGACCATCCTCCGCAGCAACAAACCACCAGGCAGCAGCACCGACAGTGGCAGCACCCACATAACCTGGTAAGGCAAATCAAAAAGATGTCACTCACACATGCACATAATTGCCACAGATGCCTACCTACATTACCTCTAAATCCTGCTCCTGTGGCAGATTTTTGATTTGAGTTCACTTGGCAAAGAACGGAAACGCTAATCGAGAGTGTCACATGCACCAACGACTTACATCCAATGGCTAAGTATCTGAAGAAGAGCCACCCGGAGATGAGGGGTTCCCGGGCGTTGCGTGGCGGCTTGCTCATGATGTCCAAGTCTGGTGGGTTGAAGCCCAAAGCAG